TATTTATGAAAACACCGTTGTCTTACATTTGTTATGCCTATTCACGCTTTAAAGTCTGCTTTCTGTTGTACTAAAATGCTCGGTGTTCATCAAACCCTATCACAGAGAGCGGTGTAAAATAGTCATACAGAAGACTTGTAATGAACCTGCTGGTTCGCAAATACGAAGACCATCGATTGGGAAACAACAAATGCGAAATAAATTTGCAATATTGGCGGCCGTCACAGGCAAATTAATTGGAATGTGCTGAACAAGCTGCATCCGTGATAGCTGGTTTGCATTCACCTGCGAAGGGCACAGTTGCGTGCACTTCCGATGCCTCATTCCAGTCAACGCGTGTCCACCGGTCATCGCGCATTAACTCGGGATAATCAGCCTCATGGTAAACCGGCGTGTAGTGCTGCCCAGTCGATGTCTCCTCCTTCAAGGTCCGGTTCTCCAACTCTTCTCTTCAGGATAAATTTCACTCACCTGTGGAAGGCAAATCAAACAATGCAAACTGTTTGAGCAAACGTTGATGGCATATGGCAATTGGACTGTTTTTATGATAGAAACCGACTACATTGCTCTTAAAGGGTGTGAACAAATGCGTACGGACGCATTGCCTTCCTGACAATACTCTCGACAGTCACATACAACGGGATCTAGAAACAATCCCGCAGACAAAGTGCGGCAAGCAAAGCTGCGTGAACTTAAATGAAAACAGTAAGGATTACAGAATGGAACATTTAAAATTTGGCGGTGAAAAATTGAATGAGACTCACTTTGTTCACCTCTGACTCCTGAGGTACAAAGCTTTGTTCTGTCATATATATGGGCACCTTTATTGCACACTATGGGCTAACTATTATTAGACGCATATAAACAACTTTCAAACTTACCGTATTTAGTCAAAATCATACAATACATCAACTTCCACGCAACGGGCTATTTTAAGGCGCGTTAGCAGTAAACAATAAAACCGCGAACAAATAGTAACCATCGCGTGATTCATCACTTTTCTAACATGTGGCCACTTTTGACCGGTAATAAGTAAATATTACAATTGTGCACAAATTGTGGCCAAATTTTATTTTTAATCTTTCCCAAAACTCTATGACATAAGTCTACTTAGAAGTACATCTGCAGAAAATTTGTAACAGAAACGCAATTGACTAACATTTTCTAAACAAAGTTTGAGGAAAAATTTATTGTGTTATAACTAGAAATGCTAGTAAAGTTATTAGTAAGAACTTAAAACTATGTTAACTAAACTGTTGGCAATTGGACTTGTAAAGGGCATTAAAGAATAATGGAAAAGTCGTTTGCACTTTTTAGATAGTGACGCAGGTGAATGGTTGAAATAATCCTGTCGTAAGGAGTCAGTTCACATATGAAAATTCAGCAAATTGCCTTGTCCAGTGTAGCCACACATTCTAGAGAAGTAAATGCTATGTGGGTTTCAATAGTATAAGTGCTGATCGGTTTGTTTTTTAAACATTGCGCAGTCTACTTAAGTTGCACCTTTCGATGAATTTGGCCTGCCAACCATAAACTATCAACCTGACCGAAACACTGAAGACTTGTAATGAACCTGCTGGTTCGCAAATACGAAGACCATCGATTGGGAAACAACAAATGCGAAATAAATTTGCAATATTGGCGGCCGTCACAGGCAAATTAATTGGAATGTGCTGAACAAGCTGCATCCGTGATAGCTGGTTTGCATTCACCTGCGAAGGGCACAGTTGCGTGCACTTCCGATGCCTCATTCCAGTCAACGCGTGTCCACCGGTCATCGCGCATTAACTCGGGATAATCAGCCTCATGGTAAACCGGCGTGTAGTGCTGCCCAGTCGATGTCTCCTCCTTCAAGGTCCGGTTCTCCAACTCTTCTCTTCAGGATAAATTTCACTCACCTGTGGAAGGCAAATCAAACAATGCAAACTGTTTGAGCAAACGTTGATGGCATATGGCAATTGGACTGTTTTTATGATAGAAACCGACTACATTGCTCTTAAAGGGTGTGAACAAATGCGTACGGACGCATTGCCTTCCTGACAATACTCTCGACAGTCACATACAACGGGATCTAGAAACAATCCCGCAGACAAAGTGCGGCAAGCAAAGCTGCGTGAACTTAAATGAAAACAGTAAGGATTACAGAATGGAACATTTAAAATTTGGCGGTGAAAAATTGAATGAGACTCACTTTGTTCACCTCTGACTCCTGAGGTACAAAGCTTTGTTCTGTCATATATATGGGCACCTTTATTGCACACTATGGGCTAACTATTATTAGACGCATATAAACAACTTTCAAACTTACCGTATTTAGTCAAAATCATACAATACATCAACTTCCACGCAACGGGCTATTTTAAGGCGCGTTAGCAGTAAACAATAAAACCGCGAACAAATAGTAACCATCGCGTGATTCATCACTTTTCTAACATGTGGCCACTTTTGACCGGTAATAAGTAAATATTACAATTGTGCACAAATTGTGGCCAAATTTTATTTTTAATCTTTCCCAAAACTCTATGACATAAGTCTACTTAGAAGTACATCTGCAGAAAATTTGTAACAGAAACGCAATTGACTAACATTTTCTAAACAAAGTTTGAGGAAAAATTTATTGTGTTATAACTAGAAATGCTAGTAAAGTTATTAGTAAGAACTTAAAACTATGTTAACTAAACTGTTGGCAATTGGACTTGTAAAGGGCATTAAAGAATAATGGAAAAGTCGTTTGCACTTTTTAGATAGTGACGCAGGTGAATGGTTGAAATAATCCTGTCGTAAGGAGTCAGTTCACATATGAAAATTCAGCAAATTGCCTTGTCCAGTGTAGCCACACATTCTAGAGAAGTAAATGCTATGTGGGTTTCAATAGTATAAGTGCTGATCGGTTTGTTTTTTAAACATTGCGCAGTCTACTTAAGTTGCACCTTTCGATGAATTTGGCCTGCCAACCATAAACTATCAACCTGACCGAAACACTG